GGCGTCGCTCTCCGGGTCGGAAGCCTTTCGGTTTGCAAGCACGGAGGGGCGGCACCCCCGCGCGCCCCTCGCCGACCTGCGTCGCTGTTTGCACGAAGATTAAGTTTTTGAAGCCTTGCCCGCACGCGCGCACACGCATTTGCGAGCCGAGCTGCGTCGCTGTTTGCACGAAGATCAAGTTTCTGAAGGCGCGCGCGCGCACGCACCCGCTTACCCGAGCCGATCAGCGTAGCTGTTCGCACCAAGATTTCCTCCCGTTTCCAAATCCGTATTGGCGTCTTTTTCGGATCCCCCCCCTTTTTTTTTTGGCCGGAGACTGGGGGGAAGAGTTAGATCAAACTGTCTAGCGCCTTTTTTGCAGAGATTATCATGGAGAAGGAGTTGCAGGCCTGAGTCCAATAGCCGATACTTTTCTTTTCCTCCCTCAGCAAAACTACTTGCAAATAGAAATCTAGCAAATATAGAAAGGGTTAGCACTTACCTTTCTGTATATAAATTTTATTAATTTTCCAAAAAGTTAAAATATAGAGAAAATCAAAAAAAGGGAAAAAGAAAAAAAAAAGCATAGAAAAGGAAGAGAAGCTTCTGACTTTCCTTGGTACAGGTATAAATGTAAAATATATTTGTCTCTTACTCTAGTATCTAAAAGTTTATGTAATAAAAAATCGTTTTTAGTCCAATATTCAGAAAAATTCCTAAAATCAATCTATTTCAATAAGGTGGATGATTTGTACAAGATATTTCAATAGATATAACATCAATCTTCAAATCCCAAAATCAAAATTGCATTTTGCGTCAAGCAAAAATTCCAAGAATGGTTTCCAATCAGAAGCAAAGCTAGACAATGTCTTCTCTATAAGCAAAGTAGTCAGTTTTGCCATCTCCGCCAATTCCATTAATTTCAATATCCGTTCTTCAGCTGTAGGTATTTGTAGATCGTTCCATTTTTGCGCATATAAATGTCTTGCCGCAGTTATCGTATAAATAAATAAATTCCATATTGTCTTTCCATTTGTTTATCCATCATACCTAAAAGGAAAGTCTCTGGTTTCAATTGCAAATCTATTTTCAAATGTTTTTGAATCCAGATACCTATCATATTCCAATATTTCTTAGCCTTTTCACAAGTCCACCATAAATGATAGAACGTACCCACACTGCTTACATTTCCAGCCAACCTTTGAAATTCCTTTATACCTCTTTGACAATTTATCTGGGGTCAAATACCAACGGTACATCATTTTATTAAAATTTTCTTTGAACGTATAACTAAGAGTGAACGTTAACCCTTTATTCCTCATATTTTCCCACTGGTCCAGCATTATGTGATATCCAAAGTTCTTTGCCCATTTAACAATATAGTCATCTTCCAAATTCATCTTTAACGAAAGTCTATACATTTTAGCAATAAGGGGTTCATCATTAATGCACAAGGCATATTCAAACTCAGTTTTCTCTGCAGTAAATTCATAACTTTTCTTATCTAATTTAAATCTTTCCAGCAACTTTGCATATGTAAACCATTGGCAAACACAACCTTCCAGTTCCAGTAGAGCAGTGTTGTCCAAACTTGGCCACTTTAAGATGAGTGGACTTCAACTCCCAGAATTCCCCAGCCAGCTATGGTTGAGCGGCCAAGGTTGAGAAACACTGTTCTAATGCATAGGTAGGGAAGCAGCTGTTTTTTCCTTTCTCTTTCAGCTCTAGAAAGCAAAAAACAAAGGCTGGGTGAAAGATGCAGTACTGTACTCCTCTGTTAATGTAGCTGTATTTAATAAAACCCTGTTCAGATGTAGAAGGGAAAGGGTGTTTTTTCTTGTGGAAGCAGTCGAAGTCTTACTCCTCATCACTCCTTATTTTGACCACCTTTCTCCCGAGGAAGAAGGATACAATTCCCCCCCCCCCAATAATTTTATTAAGAGTTTGAAATAAGACAGTAAAAGAATACAAGTGAAAAGAAGAAGAAGAAAAGAAGAAGAAGAAGAAGAAGAAGAAAGACAAATTTGGAGAAGGATACAAATACAAAGAAGGATACAAATTTGTAGAAAGATAAAAAGAAGAAGAAGAAAACGACAAATTTGTAGAAAGATACAAATTTGTCTGTGCAAAGGAAAGCTAAGTTGAAGCACAGGTGGTGGTTGTGGGGAAAATAGGAGGAGGAAGGAGTATTAGGGTATGTTCACTGCCTTGAGTTATTTATAAAAATAATAAAGGTGGGATAAAAAAAAATCTAAAAAAAGAGCAAGAATTAAGACCATACAGTATATGTTTTGTTGTCAACTGCAATGAGTCTAGAAGATTTGGCAGAGGGAGGGAGGGAGGAAGGAAGGAATAGGATCTGCTTCCTTGAGATGTTTCTTTAGTGTGATATGGCTCTAACAAAGACATAATAGGAAGCTGGTATGCTAGGTTATATTTGACAACACAAGGACCAGAGGAATTTCCAAGAGCCCTAATTACCATACAAAACGAAGTAGAATCTAATTTATGCTTCTGGGGAAGATGGAGTTTGTAGTCCAACTCTTTGGGAGGGCACCTAGGTTGTTTTAAAGCTGGTGCAAGAAAGCATAGACTCACAGATGTTTCACCTTTTATATAACAGTCATTGATAAGTGTACACCTATAGGCAAACGTATGTGCAGGGTTCCTTAGAAATCTAAATAATAATAATTGCCACAACATGCCAGTGCTAACCAGCAGGATATCCAAAGTTAATCAGTTGAAGTTTCTCTTAATCCTTACAGAATCATAAGCATGAAAGAGATCCTTAACAGATCAACCTGCCCAATTCCATATTTCATTACAATCTAAGTTTAAGAGTGAACACCCTTCACTCTCCCCACTAGTTAATCTTGTTGAATTGGTGGCAGGATTTTTTCATCCTTTGGTTCAAAGTTCCTCTTCAATTGGATCCCAAATTTCTCAAAAAGAACAGCTGGGATCTTAGAGTTCTGCAGGACGGTTTCTGTACGTTCCCCTCCCCTGGTGAAAATGAGACGCTGACCGATGTAGGTCAGACGTCCACCACCTGGTTTGTGCAGGGAACAAAAGGATTTACATGTGAAGATGGAACAGGGTGAAGTCTGGTGATAAAGACACATGTTAGAAAAATCTTCTAGTTTCCTCTCCTCCAGGGTGAATTTATAGAGGGGCCTCCCCTTCCCTCCAGATACTTCCCGACGTTCCAAAACCCAGATGTCTCCTTTCAGGCTCAACCAAAATATACCTCCTTCCTGAACTTGTTCCAACTCTGGCTTCAGCTCTAACGGTTCCAGGAAGCCTTCTCCAAAGCCAACATCACACAGAAGTTGGTGCCCGTCCAAGTCTACCAAAATTATCAAGTGGTCCAATGGAGGACCATAGCACTCTGTGAAGCGGTTCCAAACACGTGCAGCTATGACTTTGGTATGAAATCCTAATGCTTGCAACAACCACAGGAAGAGACCATTCAGTTCACAACAAAAACCACCCCGGTGGTTTTGAACAATTTTCTCGTACAAATGGGGGAATTCCAGAATGATGGGCTCTTTACAATGGATGCTGAGGCTCTCAAACGGTACCGAGAAGAGGTGGGAGCGGTGGAGGGACCGTAGGGTCTCCAAAGAAGGGCAGGTGGAGACTCCTTGGAATCCAATCCGTTGGAGGTAACACCCAACGTCCATCCTGGGCTGGATGGAAGAACTTGAAGAAGTGAGTAGGAAAGTGATTCAAGATTCCTGCTCTTCCTCTTTCCAAGATCTTTTTCTGCTCCTTCAATCGCCTGGAATAAGGGAGCATTAAACTGTGGCTGGGGCTCCAGAGACTTTAGTTCCTAAGTCATCTCTCGTTGCCTGTCTGATTTCCTCTCCCTTTCTCAGAAAACTTTGACCCTGGAATTTCTGTGACGAGTTTTGCTGCATGCCCAGCTGCTGGTAGTTTCGTAATGCCGGAGAACCAGAAGAGGAAGTGAAGATTCCAACTGCTTCCTTCTGTAATTTATGTATATTAACCCTTATTCAGCTCTGATCACTTTAGGGCACTGAATTTGCCAGGTAATGCAATGCTTGGGAATGCTCTGCTTTTAATGCTCGTTGTGCGGGGATATTGCAGGGAAGGAGACTGAATTGATCTAGTTTAACACATGAGTATTTATGGAGAGTATTCGATGCCATTAACTGTGCTGTGTATGGACTCCTGATCGAGGGCTTTCTAAACTATTAAGAATCAAGCTGAGATGCTTGAGTTCTCAATAAGAACACTGAATTGTGTGTTTGTGCATGAAAGGTGCCTATTTATTTATTTATGTATGTATGTATGTATGTATGTATGTATGTATGTATGTATGTATTTATTTATTTTCTAAGTCTTGGCTGGCTTCCAGTTGTTGCCCTGATCACTTTCAGACTTGCAAGATTCCGTTAATGTAGCCTTACAAGAAAGTAGAATTCGCTCAATTTGTCATGTTTCCTGTCTGATCTGCTTGGGAGGCTGATATCAATCTTGCAAGTCTGAAAATACAAATCTCCCGCCGTCTCTTTTTACAGCCCGGTAAGTTAGGGTGGGTCCTTTCTAAGTTTCTTTTTCTGCCCGTTATTCAGCTGTGGGCTCCTCCTCCTTTTATCTGGTCGTTCCCTGGGCAGCATTTCTTCCCCTCGTCTCTCAAGGTCATTCCCGCGTACCATTACATCTGGTGATTAGGCTAGGCTGCATTGACACAAGCTTCATCGAAGCAGTCATTTGGGGTTAGGAGTTACCATGTTGCTTGTCCCACCTGCCGCTGTCCTGATATCATACAGACTCATCATGATGTCACTCCTATCCCCCACATGAGCTGGGAGATAGGATAAAGCAAGGCCTTTTCCCCACGTGCTTCCCAATTAATGGTGGTCACCATGTTTTATAGATCCCTCATTGTCCTGTGCATGAGGCCTCAATCACGTACAGACCCTGGCCCTCACAATCACATTTTGGTTTTCTACTTTGTGATCACCCCTCTCCTGAACCCACTTATCTACACCTTACAAAACAAAGATCCCAAGTTGCAGCTGTCAGGGCGTTCTGGATATGGAAGTCTGGCTGGTCCCGACAGCAGGAATTCTGTACTTCAAGTCATGGTTCCATTCTCTGGAAAAGTATCTGGAACAAAGGCTTAGGAGGAAAAAAACAACTTTCGTGACTTTTGGACTGAAAGAAACAAACTATAAGGACAATGTTTGCAAGGAAAAAAATCAATGATCAACTATGATCTGGGGGAAAAAAATGACTGAAGGAGTGCAGAGGTTGCCCCTGATCTTCAAAAAACAGAAATTGGAGGATTGAGGGAAATATAATCAGTCTGCCATAGATAATTGGGAAGACCCCAGAGCACATATTTGACATTGATTTGTAAGCACTTTGAAAACAGTGTGGTAACAGGAGGGAAATTAATGGGAGTAATTTGCAGTTTAGTTTACCCCCAACACACGCCCAGTCAATCTCGTGTGGCCAAATCAGAGCAAGCATACACACCACTGAGATCAGCTAGCAAAAAAAAAAGTGTTAATTTATGAAACATCAGCAAACATCAAAAACAATTAACTGGCAAAACAGGATAAAAAGCAGGCAAAAGCAGGGAGAGAGTAAGACATGAATAACAGACAAAAATTGACATTCTATATTTCTATCAAAAGGCACTGAATTTCCAGAATCGTTGGAACCAATTGGGTGGGTAATTAGCATGGACATGCCCAAAGGGAGTGGCCTTTGGTGATTCCGACTTTAATCCTTTTATGTCGATAATAGTAGCAGAATAGAGATGGAATGCAGGACATTCCCAAATTGAGGGAAACAGTTTGGTGGATGGAGAGGATGTCTCCAACAGTAACTGCCACAAGCCAGACTAAGTGTGTCCTGAACAGATTAATTATATCTCATTCCTTACTCAGGGAACTTTCTTTGTAGATTGTGGGAAGGTTCTACCTATATTTTGATTTCAGAAAAAATATTTGACAAAGTACCCCACAACAAGCCAATTAAATATGAGCTGAATAGAATAGCGATTAAGTGCCTACACAGGTGGCTTGCCAACAGTGGTGTTCATCAGTCAAATTTATCAAATGTATTTATTTACTTAATTCAGTTTGGATGTTGCCTGACTCCAAACGGCTCTGGGTGGCTCCAAACCATAAGAGAGCATAAAAGCAGCAAACTATAGAAAACTAACCAAAACAAGTATATTAAAAACAACAACAACTGCAAAATAATCATGAGATGGCAATCCAACAACAAAGCAGACGTAAAACATCACAATGGGGGAGTCCCCTCCACCTTACCCCATAATCTGGGTAAATTTCAAATGGTGAGGAATCAAGTCAGATGCTCCAGGGTTCAGTCTTGGGCCATCTACTTTTACATTTATTAATGACTTGGATGAAGAGTCACTTTCCAGGATTTTCGGGTTGTGCACCAGTTACTCCCTTTCCTGGATCGGGATGCCCTTCGGTCACTCACGCCCTTGTTACCTCCCAGATAGACTACTGCAATGCGCTCTACATGGGGCTACCCTTGAAGAGTATCTGCAAGCTTCATCTGGTCCAGAATGCGGCCGCATGAGCAATTTTTGGGGCCTGAAGAAGGACCCATATAACACCTTTGCTCC